CCCCAGAATTAACCACTTCATTCGAGCAGTTAAAATGACGTTTACTACCACTCGAACTTTGAAATAAAACATTATTTTGAGATTTTTTCTTCGAGAACCTCGAGAAAAGTAGCCAACATTTGTGCGTTTCATAAAAAAAATAGAAATTAGTTAGACCAGTTTTGTGAAATCGCTGGTAGAAAGTCACGCCAAAACTGCTTGACAAAGTGGTCAATTCCTCTACTATTCTCCTCAAAACTTATTTGGAATTCTCTAGAAAATTTGAAGCATTATAATGTCAGAATCGTGTAATGTTGGCCTAAATGCCCCTGATTTGGGCCCACACATAAATTCAGCAATCTACTAAATTTTCAATAGCGACCAAAAATATTCGTTAGTACCGTCCCAATGACGCGAGAATCTAGATACAATTGATAAATACCAGATTTTTTTAGCGATGGGCCCAATCTTAGATCCATAGGCCAACATTAGAGCCATTTCCCCTATGTTGATCTTCTCCAAAGTCCTTAAAATTTTCGTAAAATTTTCTGATCTTATCTTAAATTGTCATAAATTGTCCTGGAATTTGCTGATCTAAAGTTCTCAGAATATTCCTGAAATTCGCTGATTTTCTCTGATGTTTTATGAACATTTGTGAAGCTCACTGATTTTATCTGTAGTTATCAAAATATTCCTGAAGTTCTTTGATTTTCTCTTTAGTTCTTAGAATTGCCTGAAGTTCGCTGATTTTCTCTGAAGTTCTCAGAAAATTTCTGAAGCTCGCTGATTTTCTCTGACGTTTTAAGAATTTTACCCGAAGTATGTTGACCTTCTCTGAAGTTTTTAGTATTGTGAAATTTTATCATCTTATCCAGAATTCTCATAATTTTCCTGATTTTTTTAGAATTTTCCAGGAATTTGCTGATTCTCTTTCAAGTCTCAGAATATTCCTGAACTTTGCTGATTTTCTCTGAAGTTGTGAGTAAATTTGTGAAGTTCGCTGATTTTATCTGAAGTTATGAGAACATTGCTGAAGTTTTCTGATCTTCCCTTTAGTTTGTAGAATTTTCCTGAAGTTTTCTGATTTTACCTGAATTTATCAGAGTATTCCTGAAGTTTTCTGATCTTTTCTTAAGTTCACATATTTTTCCTGAAGTTCTTAAAATTTGCTTGAAATTCTTTGATGTTCTCTAAGGTTATGAGCAAATTTTTGAAGTTCGCTGATTTTATCTGAAGTTAACAGAATTTTACTGAAATTATCTGATCTTCTCTCAAGTTCACGCAATTTTTCTGAAGTTCGCTGATTTTCTCTGACGTTATCAGAATATTCGTGAAGTTTTCTGACCTTCTCTCAAGTTCTCAGCATTTTCCCAATGTTCGCGGATTTTCTAAGAAGTCATCAGACTATTCCTGACGTTTTATGATCTTCTCTAAAGTTCGTAGAATTTTCCTGAAGTTCGCTGATTTTCACTGAAGTTGTGAGTAAATTTGTGAAGTTCGCTGATTTTATCTGAAATAATCAGCATATTCCTGAAGTTTTCTGATATTTGCTTATGTTCACAGATTTTTCCTTAAGTTCTTCAATTTTTTTTAGAAATTCTTTGATGTTCTCAGAGTATTCCTGAAGTTCGTTGATTTTCTCTGAGGTTGGGAGCAAATTTGTGAAGTTCGCTGATTTTATCTGAAGTTTCCTGAAGCTGCTTGATCTTCTCTTAAGTTCACAGAATTTTCCTGAAGTTCGTTGCTTTTCTCTGACGTTATATGAATATTCGTGAAGTTTTCTGACCTTCTCTCAAGTTCTCAACATTTTCCTTATGTTCTCGGATTTTCTATGAAGTCATCAGACTATTCCTGATGTTCAATGATCTTCTCTAAAGTTCTAAGCATTTTCCTGAAGTTCGTTGATTTTCTCTGAAGTTGTGAATAAATTTGTGTAGTTCGCTGATATTATCTGAAGCTATCAGTATATTTCTGAAGTTTTCTGATCTTCTCTTAAGTTCACAGATTTGTCCTGAAGTTCTTAAAACTTTCTTGAAATTCTTTGATGTTCTCAGAATATTCCTGAAGTTCGTTGATTTTCTCTGAGGTTATGATCAAATTTGCGAAGTTCGCTGATTTTATTTGAAGTTATAAGAATTTTCCTGAAGCTGTTTGATCTTCTCTCAAGTTCTCAGAATGTTCCTGAAGTTCGCTGATTTTATCTGAAGTTATCAGAATATTCGTGAAGTTTTCTGACCTTCTCTCAAGTTCTCAGCATTTTCCCAATGTTCGCGGATTTTCTAAGAAGTTATCAGACTATCCTGACGTTTTATGATCTTCTCTAAAGTTCGTAGAATTTTCCTGAAGGTCGATGATTTTCACTGAAGTTGTGAGTAAATTTGTGAAGTTCGCTGATTTTATCTGAAGTTACCAGCATATTCCAGAAGTTTTCTGATCTTCCCTTATGTTCACAGATTTTTCCTGAAGTTCTTAAAATATTCTTGAAATTCTTTGATGTTCTCAGAATATTCCTGAAGTTCGTTGATTTTCTCTGAGGTTAAAAGCAAATTTGCGAAGTTATAAGAATTTTCCAGAAGCTGCTTGATCTTCTCTCAAGTTCACAGAATTTTCCTGAAGTTCGCTGATTTTCTCTGAACTTATCAGAATATTCGTGGAGTTTTCTGATCTTCTCACAAGTTCTCAGCATTTTCCTAATGTTCTCGGATTTTCTATGAAGTCATCAGACTATTCCTGATGTTTTATGATCTTCTCTAAAGCTCTTAGAATTTTCCTACAGTACACTTATTTTCTCTGAATTTATCAGAATATTCCTGAAGTTTTCCAATCTTCTCTGAAGTTTACAGATTTTTCCTCAAGTTCGTTGAATTTTCTTGAAACTTGCTGATCTTCTCTGATATTCGCAGAATATTCCAAAAGTTCATTGATTTTCTCTGATGTTTTTAGAATTTTCGTGTAATTTTCTGATTTTCTTTGAACATCTCAGATTTTTCCTGGAGTTCTTCCTCAAGTTCTCAGAAAATTGCTGAAGTTCGCTAATTTTCTCTGAAGTTGTGAGACAATTTTTGAAGTTCGCTAATTTTGTCTGAATTTATCAGAATATTATTGATGTTTTTTGATTGTTTCTGTAAATAGTACACACATTTTTCCTGAAGTTCTTAGATTTTTCTTAAAATCTGCTGGTCTTCTCTGATGTTCTCAGAATATTCCTGGAGTTCGTTGACTTTCTCTGAAGTTTATGAGAAAATTTGTGAAGTTCGCTGATTTTCTCTGAAGTTATCAGAATATTCCTGAAGCTGATGAAGCTCGCTGATTTTTGCTAAAGATTCCCGGTCTTCTCTAAAGTTCTCAGAAAATTTCTAAAGTTCGCTGATTTTCAGAATTATCCTGAAGTTTGTTGATTTTCTCTGAAGTTCTTGGAATTTTCTAACCTTCTATAAAGGTTTCCTGATTTTCTCTGTTGTCATCAGAATATTCCTGAAGTTTTCTAATCTTCTCTAAAGATTCCTGGGCTTCTCTTCAGGCTTCTCAAGTTTTTCGAAATGGCGTATTCGAGATTTTTCAACTAATCATAACACGAAAACGCCACTTTAACCTCAAAATGAAATCTAAGACAATGTTGTAGGAAAAAGAAATTCTTTTTTAGAACAATATACACGGTGAAAAATTTCATAACAGTTTGGGTAAGCCAGCAAATAAAGTGTTTAAAACTTAAATAACAAAATCGACCATCTTCAATATATTTTTTAATATTGTTCATTAAAAGGCTTATAAAAATGCAAAATTCAGTGAAATTTTCAAGTTGGACACTTAAATAGTAACAACAATGCATGAACTACAACTTTTGAACAAATTTTCGTAGATTTTGTTTAAACAATTTTTTGTGAAATTTTGCACAGAAAACGATTTTGACAATCTAAGAAATGGTTTCCTGTGCACGATTTCCCAAAAATGTTGGTGAAGCAAAAAGTTTATTTTTCTCTCCAAAAGTTGTTGTTGTTGTTGTTGTTGTTTAAAGAATCATGTTATTTTCAAAGTGTTCAGCTTGAAATTTTCACATAAGTTAACATTTTTCATAAGCTTCTTCTTAATGAAAAAAAAAAAGAAATACAATACAAATATTAAAGGGGAGCAGTTCCACGCCAAATGACGAATCGGAAAATCTCGGCATTCTCTGATTTGAATAAAATATTGCATAATTGTGTGTTATGAGCAATCATGTACATTTTTACTAAAAAACGACCATTTTGGATCTTGTATGTTTTTAAATATGGCGTCTGTCATTTTTCAATAAATTGTAGGACGAAAACGTCATTTCTGATCGAAATGACGTCTGATACAAGGTTGTAGATAATATTAAAATCTCTCTAGAAAAACTGTACATGGTATTTTTTTTAGTAATTTTGAGCACAAATAAAAAAAAGTGTTTCAAAACTCAACTTTTTCAAAAAAATATATTTTTATGTCTTGCATTTTATTTGTATTTATTATATTATGTAAACCACTTTAAGTAATACTGGCACCTTTGATAATCCTTTAGTATTGAATAGCTTATAGAACAAAAATCGGTGCACTCATTCTTTGATTGATCAATGTAATTAACCAGAGTGCTTCGTCGTAATCCACTCGCTGACTATCTCTTTCCCTATTCGATGCTAGTCTATATAGTACCTTTAAGATCGTAAAAATACCCACCTCCTCCTAACTGTGTTCATCCCTCCCCACAATATACTTCAATATAAATCCGACGAGGCAGTTAGTTTCTGCAAAAACTCAACCATCTCGTATAAAAACAAATAACACAGAAATGCATATTTGTGTAACTCATCTTTTTCTGCCTCTCTCTCTCTCTTTCTTTATATTCCTTCCATAATGCTCGGCACATTCTGCACTCTCATCATATTGGCATTCACCGCGGAATCAACCAACCAACATCATCATCTTCGCTGCAACAACAACAACAACAACAATAAAAAACCCATCCCACCACCCACCACACGCCTATTTTTGTGCAATACTAACAGAAAAATACCCACATCTCGTCGGGCAAACGTGAGCAACGTTCTATTAAGACGACTGCAAAATTGCAAGAAAACAGAATGATTTAGCGAAAAAGTGATCTGCAAGGAACGAAAACAAACCCAAAAATTCAAAATAGCGCCGGACAGTAACATCAGTGTGGACGAAGACTTGGAACGAACGGCGGCGTCGACTTGCGCTGTTGATCGAATCGTGGCAGGTGCATCGCCAAACACACTTACCCAAAAGAAGAAAAAGAAGAAGACGGCCAGCAACGGTTCGGCACAGATTCGCCCGTGCTGTGAAGCGCCAAACGTCGTCATCGTCGACAAACCTGCTGCTACTTCTTCAGACAACCGTTGCTGTTCCGGTGCCGGTGGGTGCACCAAGTGTTGCTGCTGCTGTTGTTGTGGTGGATGTTGTGACGGCAACAAACGGCAACGTCAACAACAACAACTGCAACGACGAAGCAGTGATCCTCCTGGCTGCCGGCAGAAGCAACGGTCATCGTCATCGTCGTCGGTGGTGGTCGGCGGTTGTGGTGGAGGGCAACAGCGAAGGACGCGCAGTGGCAACGGTACCGGCACTGGTACTATGGAGACAACCCATCTGGTGACGGAGTTTATCACCCACACCGGCGCCAACACGCAGGACGCCGAAAGCTGCCTGAAATCGTGGGAGTGGGATCTGAAGAAGGCGCTCATCGACTACAATGGTATGGACTGTGTTGTATGCTCTTGAATGTTGTGCTCGATTATTACCGTTCATTTCTAGACCGTTTTTTTTTACTGCTAGGACAATTGTACATATTAGTGCTAGGAATTATAACGTAGAAATTCAGCAGAATTGCAATCGCTCTAGTTAGAGTCAATATCATAAACGGTTTTTAAATTTCAGTCTGATATTTGGTCTTTAGATAGGAATGGCATTCTGCTACTCAAATCAGATAATTCTAAACTCATTTCAAAATTATGTAGGGAAAAGTGGGGCAATATGATCAATCGGGCTATGTGGCCACCCGCTTAAAAATCAACTTATTGATAGTGTTTTACAAAAAAATGTTGCAGGCTTACAAAATTCTTTTCTCTAGAGCAAATATTCGAAAAATGTTGGACTAGCTCAAAATGTCATAGATGTTAGACGATTTCTGAATCATAAAATAAGGTCTGTCAGTAGGGTAGAGCGCTACTTTGTCGTAATCGCCCATTTCCGTTCTATCGATCAGAAAAGATCAATAATATCAATGATTTCACCATGCACAAATCAATAATAGCATTGTTCCGAGCAGGTTAGTTCATTAGCTACAACATAAATCCTATTTGAGCGCATTGTATGAATATTTACAACAAAAGAAGCGCTCCTAGCGAATCCCCTTTTTCTACGTTTATCCGTAGGACGAAGAAAATCTTTCAATGCGTTAGGACGGAATTGAAACTCGTAGGACGTATTTAGAATCAAGAAGCAGTACAAGATTTTGAACAATATCTCATCAATTATTGTTATTGTGGCTCTTCGTCAAATCCAATGGTATGGAATAAATTTAGAAGTCATCTTTGACAGAAATATTTTTTTTTTGTTCAAACCCGTTCAAAATAGAGAGCTCAAGCGCGGGTTGTGCTTAAAGACTAAAACGCGGCAAAATTGGTCGACAAAAAAAAAAAAAAAACCGTTTCTTTCAGTCAAAATTCATATCCCAAAAATCTTCCTATTTTTCTTTTGGTAGTACAATTAATATATTTAAAGGAAAGAATGTACGTTTATTCTTTTGGTGAGCCAAATCCAAACTGCCGTGCCTTCCGCTTAACCCATTACATTTTGCACAGTGACCTTATTCGCTGTCGAACGCCAGTTAGATTTAAAAACTGCTGCTCGTTTTCCATTGGTTTATTAGTTTTTTTTTTTTAGATTCCGTTTGACCAAGGCCCAATACCGCTCGATAGGGCGGAGTTCTGGGCTGCTGGGAGGGTTGCGGTCTTTGGGTACCACAACCACGTTGTTCGCATTGTACCACTCGATTGCCTTTTTCCCATAGTGGCAGCTCGCCAAGTCCGGCCAGAACAGCACAGGTCTATTATGTTGCTTTAGAAATGGTAGCAGCCACTTTTCCAGGCACTCCTGGACGTAGATCTCTTGATTAGTGGTTCCCGTAGTAATGCAAATGCCGCTTTTTAGACCACACGTGCATATGGCCTGCCAGACGAGATATTTTTTCGGGAACTTCGATAGTTTTATGGTTTTGAAAATTTCAGACACCTTCCCTTTTCCTGATGCGGTATAAAACACCTGTCCCGGAAGCTGCTTGAAACCCGCCTTCCCATAAGTTTCGTCGTCTATGACGACATAGTCGAACTTTGTGAGTAGATTCGTGCACAGCTTTCCGGACCGCTGCTTTGCCGACGTGTTTTGCTTCTAATCTCGTTTCGCCATCTTCACCTTCTTAAACGTCGACAACCCGGCTCGTTTCTTGGCCAGCTGCGCAGTAGTATAGGAGACATTAAGCTTGCCAACGGCGTCCCGGATGGAGAGGTTAGGATTTCGCTTATATTTCCCCGCAACCTTCTTCGTCGTCGCTGCCACGCCGCCGCTTCCAGGCTACCTGGGGGTCGACAGACGCTCCCCGAACACTATTAAAACGTTTGTCACGGTCGATTTGGCCACATCCAGGAATTTTGCCAGCTTGGCGTGTGAGAACGTCGGATTCTCTTGCAGCCCGAGCAAAATTTTGACACGCTGCTCCTCTTGCTTGAATGTCATTTTGAAAACTGGAGAGCAAACGGTGAAAACTCATCATAGCAACCATTGTATATACACTCAAATCCAGATGCAGCATTTCAGGTTTTTTTTAATGCATTTTTAACAGAAATACAACAATTTGAAGTTGACCAATTTTTGCGCGTTCCAGACTTTATTAACAGTTTTGAAAATTGTCGCTAGATTTCAGATAATTTCTAACTTGAAAAAGTTGGTTGGAGCATATATCGGGTAATGTGGAATCCGGGGAGTAGCTCGTTTTACCCCATTATATCCCATTATTATCAATTTTGTAAATTGCCGGTAGATTTCAGACATTAAACACATAACTTCTTATGTACAAATGTCCAACAAATCTATTGGATCATGTATCGCATAGTGTGCAATTCGGGAAGTAGCTTTTTTCGCCTCATTTTCTCCAAAATTCGTAATTTCACATAAATAACGAGTTTTGGAGAAAATGGGACAAAATGAGCCACAGAGTTTTTGAGAAAATGGGACAAAATGAACTATTCCTCGAATTGCACACCAACCGATAAATGCTCAAACGAGTCAAACGCACATTCCTCTACCTCACTCATACATTAATCGATGAGTTAGGTAGAGGAGTGTCTGTTTGACTAGCACTGTCGCATTAACTGACATAACCCCAAGGCTGCAAAATGCGTGTCGATGCATGTTGACATGGCTGGTTCTCGGCAACTTGGTTACCACATCTTAAGATTGTGCCACTACTTGAAAGGTATGACTATATACTTTAAAACGGAACAGAAAAGGAACCGATTAGAGTTGTGGGTGGCCAATCGGAATGATAAAACCCGTGGAAATTCGGATTCACCGGGAAAATGGTAAATTCCGGAAAGTAGACATGGAGATCCACTTTTCTAACTTGCATATAATCGTTAGCATAGAGGAAATACGACATCAACATATCGATTCTGCTACCGAGTGGCCAAAATACGGTCAATTCTTAAAAGTAGATGTGTGAAAATGTGAAGAACCCTTAGTTGAGAAGATATATGTCAGTGCCATATCACCAGGAAAATGGTCAATTCCGGAAAGTAGTCCTAGCGATCCGTGATTTTTTTATACATTTCATACAATCATGAGCATAGAGGAAATAAACCTTTACCATATCGATTCTGCAACCAAGTGGCCAATCCGTGGTGAATCCGGATATCCAAAAAGGCATTTAATGGCCACCGGGGAACCAACTCAATATGTCACTGAGATATATCTTCTCAACTAAGGGTTCTTCACATTTTCTTTTCATTTCCACGGATCTCCAGGTCTTCTTTTAAGAATTAACTATTTTCCCGGTGATTCCGGATATCCAGAGGACCGTATTCTGGCCACCCGGTAGCAGAATCGATATGTTGATGTCATATTTCCTCTTTGCTAATGATTATATGAAAGTTAGAAAAAAATCGCGCATCTCTAGGTCTACTTTCAGGACTTGAATAATTTCTCTGTGATTCCGGATATCCAGAAAACCGTTTTCTGGCCACTTGGTTGCAGAATTGATATAGGATTGGTATATTTCCTCTATGCTAATGATTGCATGCAACCTAGAAAAAATCGCGGATCTCTAGGTCTACTTTCTGGAATTGACTATTTTCCCGGTGATTCCGGATATGTAGAGGACCGTTTTCTGGCCACTTTGTTGCAGAATTGATATGGTGATAGTACACTGAAAAATGTTTTCATATAGTTTCCATTGGAAACGCACATGATATTTTTCCAATAACAAAATTAATGATTGTTATCTGAAATTCACATAACATTCATATGATCACATGAATTCTATGTGATAAATCACATAAACTTCATTGGACACATAAGGTTCATGTGATTTCGTAGCGCGATTCCCAATTATGAGATCACATGAAAGTTATGTGAAATTCTAATGGATATTTTCCATCGGAAATGTGATTTATTTTTTGAGTGTATATTTCCTTTATGCTCATGATTGTTTGCAAATTAGAAAAAATCGCTCAGCTCTAGGACTACTTTTAACAATTGACTATTTTCCCGGTGAATCCGGATATCCAGAAAGGCATTTAATGGCCACCGGGGGACCAAATCAATATGTCACTGAGATATATCTTCTCAACTAAGGGTTCTTCACATTTTCTTTAAAAGCACGGATCTCCAGGTCTACTTGCAAGAATTGACTATTTTCAAGGTGATTCCGGATATCCAGAGGACCGTATTCTGGCCACCCGGTAGCAGAATCGATATGTTGATTTCTTATTTCCTCTTTGCTAATGATTATATGTAAGTTAGAAAAAATCGCGGATCTCTAGGTCTACTAATTTCCCTGTGATTCCGGATATCCAGAGGACCTTTTCCTGGTCACTTGGTTGCAGAATTGATATGGGATTGGTATATTTCCTATATCAAAAAATCGCGGATCTCTAGATCTACTTTCTGGAATTGACCGACACGCATTTTGCCGTCTTGGATGGTTGGTTGGTTGTCTTTATTAAGGAGATTTTCAGCCAGGCGCTGGTTCATCTCCGGGAACCCCTGAAGAGGTTTCCCCAAATTACAGAATTAAAAAAATGATAAAAGTGTCCGGAGGGGGCACTTCTGAAAGATAGGGGAGGCTCCAGAAGGGAGTCCCTTTAATATGGAATACTTATATCTAGATACGGTATAAGTGATATCTAAGATACGGTTATTGTCTTTTGATGCTGACTCATTTTACGTTGGGAGGTGGAGGGTTTCTTGGGATGGCTGGCGGAGAGGAAGTCCTTGTTCTTAGCTGTGGTCGTGGTTGTTGAAAGTGTTCGGGCTGGTCGTGGTGTGGTTTACAGGTACACAGCTAAAAAAAAAGTAGCGTAAATTTCCGTTACTATGATGCACATAAATGTAGCGTCATATATCATACAAGTTTAGATTATAGATCGTGTAAATTTATGAGACATGTAATGTAATATCCCATATATTGTATGCAACTGTCCACTTTTGTTTGCAACATTTTTCATCAATTACCAAGTTGCTAGTTTACGTGAAATGGAAGTTTACATGTATGAATGTTTGCATGCATGGATGTTTACATCGCCAGTAAAATTCAGAATTTTTTGGTGTGTAGTTATCCTCATGGTCGGAGTTGAGGGCATGACAGAATGCATCATTGAGGGGTCCGCTTTCGGAGGTAATGTCTCGGTCGGCTGTAGTCATATTCGAGAGAACAGGCCTGCCTCGCGGAGGAAAGCCAGTAGTGCCACTGAGCGGCAAGGATCTTCACTGAGGGCGTCTCGGATGCTGCCGGGGATGTCGAACAGGTTTCTAGCTCCTTGGTATTGCGAGCAGTGGCATATAAAGTGTTTCACCGAATGGTGGATCTGGCACAGTGGACAAGGTCGGTGGAATTCGCCATTTCCCGTTATGTTGTGTGAGATACGGGTGTGTCCTGACCTAAGCCTGGAGATCACCACTTGAGAGCGGTGGTCAGGTAGGTCCTCCCAGCGGCGTGTCTCATCTTTAATTTTATGGACGAACAGATTTCGTGAGTCCAACCAGTCTTGCCTCCAAGACTCCCATGTAATTTTGGAAAGCCAGGTTTTCAGATCCGGGCCTGGAACTTTTCTTGTTAATTTTCTCATTTGTCGACCTGATGATGCGAGGTGGTCAGCTTCGACGTTACCCTGGATCCCACAGTGACCGGGTATCCAGGCGACGGTGGTGTTGGGTGGAGCAGACCGGATGATGGCTTGGATCCACGGGTGTGTGGGGTGCTCGGCGTCAAGGGCGGCTACCACGCTGGTGGAATCCGTGAATAGGACGATGGGTTTGCTAGACGGTGTGTTGATGGCGACGTAGGCGGCGGCTGCCTCGGCGGGAGACGGTGGCACACACTTACATCGGGGCCGGATACCCCAATTTCAGCTCTCCCTTGTGCAATCGAGCCGTCGGAATAGCGGATCGTATGGTTGTTGTAGCGATGGTATATTAGGTCCCTGTGTACTTGGGTAACGGTGAGAGGGTTAGAGCCTGCCTTAAAGTTATGCTTGATAGTTGGGTCTATGGAGATATTTGGCAGGTTCCAACCCAGTGGACACTGGGGGGAGTGCCTGGTCAGCAATCCTAGCGAGGAGCTGGTTTGTTTCCTCTAGGAGGAACACTCCGTCGCTCGATCCAGTAGTTTTTTTTCTAGGAAGCTGACGGCTCGGTGGCAGATGGTGAGGGCGATGAGGTGGTCGAAAAGAAGGACTCCTCCCTCGACGCATGCTGCCAAACCCAGAGTTGACGGGAGTAGACCGGAACTAGTTCGGATGGCCCGTTGATACACAGGAGTGAGTTTCTCGATTAGAGCTGTCCTGGCTATGCAGGTTAACTCGATCGCTTTGGTAATTCGGGTCCGGAGGTGCCGATTACTATCTGGGTGGCGTCTGGCGTCTGAATAAGGTTCAACCTTGACCGGCAGTTAGATTTCACCTCATCGAGGTGAGGTACGAACGAAAGGCTGCGGTCAATACGAACTCCCAAAATCTTTACGGTTTTATGCTGCGGGATGGCCTGAGATCCGATGATGACCAGTGACGTCAATTTGCCGTATTTTCACATTGCCGTACTCTAGCGGAACTATCAACCTACCATCTTCAGAACTTTCTCTAGCTAATAAATTATCACACTAAAAAAAGCTTCATGTTGATATTAGTATAGCATTTCCAACCAACTCTGAAAATGGTCTAGTTGTTACACTACCAGGGAAAAAAGCACTTCAAGGGATTCAGAACAATGGACAGTGGACAACAACTGATAGGGTAGAGCGCTACTTCGTCGTAATCGTCCATTTCCGTTCTATGGAGCAGAAAACATCAGTATAATCAATGATTTCACCGTGCGCAAATCAGTAATACGTTTGTACTGATGCGTTAGGTCACAAGTTACAACACAATGCATATTAGAGCGTATTATGTGAATATTTACACTCATTGTTCTCAAACAAAAGAATCGTTCCTAGCAAACTCGCTTTTTCTATCTTCATCCGTAGGACGAAGAAAATCCAATGGCGTTTCAATGCGTTTGGACGGAATTGAAACAAGTAGGACGAATTTGGAATCAAGAAGCAGTATTAGATTTTAACCCTCCCCTTGGCTAGTTTTTGCACCTTGCTGTTGGTGGGCGGGCTTAATTTCATGCTAATGGAGTGTTGGAGACGGTGGGTTTGTGGCCGACGTTGCTGGCTCATGCCGCGATAGAATGGCGCCATGGGCGGGCAATGAGGATTACTGAGCTTCCCCTCTCTGATAAACCACTGCATGAGAGAACAAAAGATCTAGTCCAGCAGTGATAGTATCACACTTGTTACTCCTTTTATTGAGAGCCGCGTCGTGGTACGCTTACGTATAGGCACTGACGTTGGGTGTGATACTGGCGGGTTTTGCCGCAAATCACTCTTATTTTATTTATTTTTACGCAGATAGATTTATTTGGGTTTGCAAGGGAATTATACTATTGAAATATTTCAGAAAGTGCCCAACGGTACTCCTTCTACTTGCGTGACAAGCTTTCATTGTTGTTTTCATTGAAGTATTACTCAGGGAACAATTTTAAACATCATTTTTGTACATGGTATTGTAACTAATCTTATATGTGCTTCATTTTGATTTGGGATAAATGTTTGAACTATGGCTCGGGATTTCCACTGTTGCGTGCTTCTATTGTGATATATCCATACGTAATTTTGTGGGACGACATAGTGGAAACGTGTGAGCGTAGTTGGAGCATATACCCTATATAATTTAAAATCAGCTAGGAAACTAACTTCAAAATGAAGCATTTTAGTCACTTGAGGGTGTCACCTGGGTCGAACTAAGATATAATAAATAGGTATAGGTCAAAATCAAAAGTACTTGAAACACGTTTAATTTTAGATTACAAGCACAAGTGCAGGTACTTAATAAAGCATGGGTTATGATTGATTAGGTGACTTAGAGCTTTTAATAATTTATTAATTTAGACTAATGAGATATCATAACCATCAAATGAATTTAAATAATAAACTTCAGAAAGTTTAATGACATTAAGTAGATTAACAAAAGAATTAGGATGCGGGTGGTCCGCTTAGGGAGGCAACTAACCTTTATAGTTGTAGAATAAATCTTCTTATTTAGTATTGAATTTAAAAAAAAAAAGAAAACGCAGGCAGACCAATAGCATTTAGCAGATTAACAAGGAAAGGAATAGTTTAGGGAAAAAGTAAAAGTAGAGTTATGTGACAGTTATTAGCTTTTAAACTTTTGGAGGTATTGTATTCCCCTGAGTTTGTTGTACTCGATTACTATATAATTCTCTCAATACGCGAAATCTCTTATATATGCGATTAAAGCATTTGAGTTAACTTATTTCTTAGTGTTCAAGTACTTACATTTGTAAACAGCAATCAATGTTAATCTATGAACTAAACCATACGTAAAATCGATCTTTCCTTATGTGGTATTGATGCATGTTTAACTTTTCGCGGCTTTCGGAATCAACGCGCCTACGTCTACGGAGCTTACGCAGAAGTGATTTGCAATGCGGTAGAGCTCACCAAAAGTTTTTTTTTTTGAGCTTCTGTAGTATAGAATTTGTTCGGTACGGTCGCGAAATCTTGAAATGATTGATACGTGCGGTAAAATAACTAAATTGAAACAAAGCTCAACAGTAAAATAAGTAGAATATTTAGGGAGGAAACCAAAATTTATCAACTTGCCAACATAGGCTATCACATTTATTTTGGTGGCACTCTTTGTAACGAGAATATTTTCCTAGTCTAAAAATATCCCTTTTTAGTTATACCAATTGTAAGCTTTCTATTGTACTTTTATAGCCACCTATCGGAATAAATAAAAACTTGCGCGAACATGTATAATTTAAGGCGAATTAACTGGATTCAAAAATAAATTAAACCTTCGGTAAGTTGCGGAAATTTCCACAAATTACTTTCTACCTGCTCTTTTGTGTGGAAAGCCGAGTCAGTGGAAAGTATTGTTCCAAATTAGTCCGCCAGAGCTGACCAATAAAAAAATAATCTCTATAGAAAACGTACATTATAAGGTGGAAATTGCGTCGTAGCAAAAAGGTTCAACCAAGCTATTTGCGCGTCGCTCGATTTATTCTGGTGGAGTCAGTTATCAAGTAAAGATCAAGTTTGGAAGTGATCCTTAAATTTTTTGAAAGTGATTCTAGTTATAGCTTAAAACTAAATTCGAAGTAAGTTCGCGTTTTTTATTTTATTTCTAATAGATTTTAATTGTGAAATTGTGAAATTATTTGTATTTATAGAGTTCGGATAGATTATACAAAAATTGAATTTAACATAAAGTGAATTGAGTGTATTTTGAATATTCAGGTAAGCCTCTTAGTAAATATATAGAAACCAATTGTGAGATTATCACGTTGAATAGGCGTCATTAAGCCCATCCAACGTGGGCTGCTAGTCTGGACTGGATTGGTTCGTCCAGATTGGATTGTTGTTGTCAGGCCTGGATTCGGTTTTTTGGACTGCATTAGCCGAAGGTTGTTCCGGCTACGAAGTCTAGCACGTGTGATTGTGGGGTTGGAAAACTCCCTGAGTCAAGTAGCGAAGACTCAAACTTGTGCCCGTGTGCGCGTACGTCCTTCGATCGATTGTGTCGATCAGTTTTCGGGTGGTAGTCAAGACGCCATTCGCGACGGCTCGTAACGCCAAGGCGTGAGGCAGAGAGCAAAGCCAACTCACTCTCACTCCACCAATCTTCCGGGGACGCATACCCCGTGTATCGCCGTTCACGCGCGAGCCAACGGATACGCACGAAGGCCAACACCACGAACGATTTCGTCGAAGAACATTCGAGACGCCGAGGGAACGCTTGAGGTAGTAGATCGTCGTTGGAGCACCTCGCCGATCGCCAAGGTCAGATCTTCCCTATTGTGAACAATTAAATAAAAGAAGAACCCTTTTGAGTTAAATAAATGCGTGACGTCACCAGATCAAGCTAGGGTGTAAAAAAAGGTGAACTGAATATTTACAATAAAGTTTTTATGCTTGCAATTTTCCTAAATATAGGCCCTATGTGCAACTCTATAAATTCGATTTAGTTATTAATTAATTTATGCGTATCATTGAAATATTATATTTTTAATTCGAGTTTAGTTACCAACGATTTCACCTATTCGGGGTCGTTAATTGATTGATTTAATTTAGTTTGTTTGTCCCTTCTAGCTTAAACCTTTTCTGCCGCTCAGTTCTGGTTGACTTTAGTTTTTTTCTTAGTTTTCTTCAATGTATGTTCCGCAATAATCCAGTTCATTTGCTCATTTCGTTTGGGTCAATTTGTTGTTTTCGGTTCTGGAATTACTATTCGACCTGCCCTGAGAAGGGTAGTCTCATACCGGGTTTAGAAGAGAGATAACGGTCCTTCAAATCAGAAGGTGGCGCTTAAGCCGTTGTCTTAAGTAACAGAGACGAACGTTACATCTTTAAGTGATAATAAGTTGTTTTTTTTTCTCTACGGTTGTTTCGCGTGGCGTTCACAATTTGCGCGATTTTCGTATCTTACGTAATTTAGATGTTTAACTATAAACGGTTTCACTAACTCGAGGTCGTTCCTTAAGCGGTGTTGGTACAGGTTAAACCTTTGCCGACTGTCGGATTCAACGCGCCTACGTCTACGGAGCTTACGCAGAAGTGATACGCAATTCGGTAGAGCTTGTCAAACGCTTTTGAGCTTATAGAATTTGTTCGGTGCGGTCGCGAAATCTTGAAATGATTGATACGTTCTTTAAATTAACTAATTTGATACAAAGCTCAGTAGTAAATAAGTAGAATATCTAAGGAGGAAACCAAAATTAATCAACTTGCCTTTTTTCTCGCTTCGGTTGTCTCGCACGGCTTTCGGAATTCGCGCGGTTTTCGTAACTTACATAATTTAGATATTTCGTTCGAAACGGATTTACTTATTCAATCGGTTTACTACGCGGATGTATCTACGCGCACACGTCACAGCATTTTTTCTATAACTATCTTGAAACAATACATACGGAATCCAGTGTTCAAGCGGCCAACATAGGCTAGTCCTTCTGCTGTATTGTCAAAGATAGAAGCAAAATTTATTCAAATGGGTCAAGTCTTGAAAATTAAGCTGTCACGCAGCTCCAGCTGGATACCAATAAAAAAAAAAAAAAAAAAAAAAAAAAAAAAAAAAAAAAAAAAAAAAAAAAAACCGTATTAGATTTTAACAATATCTCAACAATGTGTGGCTCTTTATCAAACTCCACGGTATTTATGGAAAGGGGAATACATTTAGAAGTCATCTATGATAGAAACATTTCATTTATTGTTAAAACCCGTTCAAGAAAGAGAGGTAAAACGTGGGTTGTGCTTAGTAGAACGGAAAGTAGATCAAAAACCCTAAGATGTGAAAAAATCAATACTTTTTTGCAGTCTGTTGCAAATAACACGAAGACTTCTTCCTTGAGCGGAAATGCCTGAGTAATCGGCGAATAAAGATTTGTGACAACTCTGAGGAAAATCAGGAATTTCCGAATGTTTTACAATACAGGCCAAGAATGCTACCCTGAGGAACTCCTGCTCTAAAAGGTAGTAGTTCAGATTTGGAATTTTGATAATTTACATGCAGAGTTCTGTCATTAAAATAATTTTAAACTAATTTCATAACATAGAGTGGAAAATTATACTTTTTTTTTATTTTGACAATCAAACCTTGATGCCAAACACTGTCGTATGTTTTTTCTATGTCTAGAAGAGCAACTCCGGTAGAACAACCTTCCGATTGAACGAATTAAATTGGTAACTCTTAAGAGTTGGTGAGTAGTTGAATGCCCATGGCGAAATTCAAACGGCTCATCTGTAAAAATTGAGTTTTATTAATGTATTAATGTGAAGCATCATTCTATTCAAAAAAGTTTACTCATTGATAAAAGCAAACTTATTGGGTGGGCGGTAACTAGAAGCTTCAGCTGTATATTTTTATCCGGCTTCAAAATTGTAACACTTTTTGCATTTTTCTATTCATCAGGAAAGTATGTAAATTGAGACATCTGTTAAATTTTTTTACAAATAAATACAAGGTACTCTCTGGGAGTTTTTTTATGAGGATATAGAAAATCTGCAGTTTAGTTTGTTTTGGTTTATATAGGTGCCAATAACTGAGAACGATCAACGCGTATTCACAACATCTAGAACCGTATCGCCCCAGAAGTTCTAGGAGCACCAACAACTCTCAATATTCCAAGTACATACGCGAACATTAAATTATGTAGCCTACATCCGTCGTCTGAATATAAAGCATTAGGATAAAAACACAATCGTCATCCATTTTAGTTTAGTTTTAGGACATCATTTCATCTACTCCCATTTAGCGTCCGCGAACCAACCGATTGTTAATCTAGCTTTTCCATCTTTTCTCGTTCCATTTTAATCCTTCCCACGGAAAACCCGTTCCCGCCACCCGCGTTTGTGCGCATCATCCTGTTTCGTGCACACACACACACATGCACACACTCTACTCCAGACACATCAACGACCGAGTATTTCAACAGCCAGAAAATTGGCAATGAGATATTAATGAAAGCCCAATCCAGTACATCATCACCTCTACCCCGAATCCTGTCATCGGCACCGACGGCTGCGTCACCACGGGTGCTGCTGCAGCAATCCCCATCATCCGCTAGTTGTCCATCATATAGCAATCAACTGCATCATCACCGTAGCAGTAGTGGCGGTGGCGTTGGCGTTGGCAGTCATCACCATCCGGTGGCGGGGCCCAGATCCAGTACCAGCAGCAGCAACGGTGGCGATTTCGGACAACATCAGCATCTCTCGGCTTCCAAAAACGGGCACAGCCACGCTAGCAGTACCAATGGGACATCGGCGCTGCTGAAACCAATGCTCGCCAAAACCGACTCGATAGATATTTTTGACTGTACGTGTTCCTATTTCTGTTACATCCAAGATAACTCCGCTGCAACAACAACGGCGTGCAAACCATTAGGAAGCGCTAAGAGATCAGTTCGAAAGTTCAAAACTGTGTCGACTTCCGTTGAACATTTGCACACCGTTATTGTTGTAGCCGTACGTGTGTTCTATGTTTGCATCCTATTTTTTACTATCATTTTCCTGTTATGCTCCGAGAGTAGTTTTCATTTCGCCTAAAAGCATCTGTATGTCCCTGGTAGCTGTAGAAAAAGCGTGTAGGAACAGACGATATCGTTTGCCCTATGTATTTACTGTTATTACTGCTGCACTTACTCTTCGTTCCTCGCGCTATCTACTACCCCTACTTTACTTCGATAGCATGGTTGGTGACGTTGTTAAAGAACGGCTGACGACATAAAAAAAAAAACAAGTTAGCATCCTTCCCACTTTCAAACTAATATCGAGTCTGTGTTTTTCCGTTTTTATATCTTTTCTTGGCACCGATTCCCATCCCCCTTCGACTTCAATCAACAACAACCGGTGCATCTCGGCTATTGATTTCCGGCGCATGCAGGCAAAAAGCTCGAACGGGGCATTTCGCGTGCAACGGAAAATGTGAACCTGGTGTCCCGGGCCCGGCAAGAGTTCGAGATGGACTTCCACACCCAGTGCCACGAGCAGAACGAGAAGAACCTCAACTTTATCGATACGCCGGACTACACCTTCACGCTGCCGGATCTGACCAAATACTCGGAGGAGTTTCGGTAGGTTTTCTTTTTTCTCACGTTGTTGGTTGTTGGAAAACAGCGAGACTGATTGGGATTTACGTTTTCGGATTCTTTTTATTTGCAGGAAATTTTTGGAGAAGGACCTGATCGATACATCGACGCTCAACTCGCTGGAAGCAACCAACCGGCTGAACTGGTGGTACGACTCCGGTGTGTGTCGAAAGCTATGGCCGCTGACTACCGCAGGTACGTTGTTTAGGGAAACTATTCCTGGGAAGGCAATCAAACATAACGTTTCCAGATTCCCGGGAATTTGTTCATATTTCGGGAAAATCTTTTTAATTTGTTGAGAAATACAGTCAACTTGATATTCCATCCTTATGTGACCAGTTGTTTCTATATGTCAATGGTTCTCTCGACCCGTTTTTTCTCAGAAGTTCCTCTGTCACTTTCCATCTTCGATAACTTTTGAACAAGTATATGAATCCTGTTGAAATTTTCGCTATCAATAGTTTCTTGCTACGACAAATAGAGGCGCTACAGTAATAAAAAAGTAGCGGCTAAATACTAACTAAAACAGACTTTAGACGCTGTTACGGTACGTTTGTCGGATGCAATAGAGATTAGTGACGTTTAACGCACGCACAATTGCGGGTGTATCGCCGTGTAAAGTTGTTTATTATTTTCCTTTGGCTAACCTAAAAAATATATGAAATTAGATCTGCCAAAATGAGTTTGACAGCGATTTGTTATGTATTTTCCTCGGATTTTCACTAACTCGCTCTCACAAATCGCACCAACACAACCGGACGTGAAAATCTCAATGTTCGGATGCGTTCACACTTTTTCGACAGGATGATTAGATTTGACGTTTGATTTGTAGAACGAAATAGGTTTGTGTTTAATTTTCATTCGACTCATTCAGCAAAATAGCCGCAAGTGAGGTGAAAATATTTTTTTTTCTTCTAAAATTGAACCCCCCCCTGATTTGTGTTTTGATGGCATTCAGCAGAAACCCTAATAAAATGTGTATGGTAATTTTGCTTAACGACGTGTTCAGGGTATCATCCAAACCATTTGTGGAATAATTCAATGGAATAGGTTATCGTTCGGGTATGGTATTTTTATTAGGGTAGATAACACTAGCGTGCACAGGAATCTTTTTAAGGAGGGGCATTTTTTTCTATGGTGCATTCAATCTGGGGATGGGGAGTACTCCAAAGTGCGTGGTGGATGGTGCTGTCCACCCACCACTGTTTCCCTACTGTTCAATTTAGCTAATTTTATTTATTTTTTTATATTTTTCTTCAATGCAAACTGCTTTCAGACAGCCAATGGAATGGATCGTAGTTAGCCACCAACTGGGTGGCACACTTTCCGCTCCTTCCGAATGTCCATCAAGTGGGCGGCCACCTTTGCAAAGTATGCGCACAATATCGATGAAACGTTCCATTATATAGCGATTTTGTAGCCGCTTTGCCTCACCTAGCAGCAATCATAGGTGTTTTTGGTGGTCCAGTTCTTCGTCGATACCTTTCCTGGTTTTGAAATTTTTCCTCGCTTCCATACTACCAACATGGGTATCACTGCGATTGTGTTTGCCCAGCAACTCGGTCGCTTTCTTCCAATTTCTGAACCCTGTAGGAATCGTTGTAATAATGTGTTGCGTCATGCTCTTCTCTACAGGTTAAAAATATGAACCAAAGAAAATATATTCTTCAAGGTAATGGTATCATCTTTTATTCAGTTACATTTCTGAAATTTTGTGCAGTACGTTTTTGTATATTTTGAAGGCATCGTTACTGTTATTTTCGTGTATTTCAAGGTTTTGTTTGCCCTTATATGCTGTTGTAGTTATAATTTACTACAACCGTTGCGAGTACGTAGAAATTGGTCATTTTCAGCGAAAGTTGTAGCTCTATTTTTTTTTTTAATTTTGACCTAAATTACAAGGCTGTAGTATGTAACAATTGGAACAAAAGCGAGTACATGATTGTTAACGGAATTATGACTTGTGCATGTCAACCCTGCCCAAAGTACCGCCGAATTTATTGCAACGCACAAATGACTTGAAATTTTCAGAGAAGATTCTTAGACGAATTCTTAGTAACACATCAACAGACCAAGGTTCAATGGCAAACTAATACCCACTTTTCAACTAGGGAATCCAAGAGCTGTCTTTAAATTTTATACAGTTGCGAAAAAGTCCACCCTTAGTATTCCTTGAGGGTCTTTTCGAAATTGTTAGAACTCTATGAGCTCTATTGGAATTTTTCTCAGAAGTCCTCTGGAATTATTTTTAGAATGCTTCTTGACTTTTGCTCAGAACACCTTGGGACTGAAATTCCCTTAGAGTTTCAGAAGAATTTCCTCAGTATTATCCAGAAATTATTCCCGGAATGAGCTAGAAATTATCGGTACTCACTAGAAATTTTCCTTAAAATCCCTTTGGAATTTCACTCAAAATTTGATTTTCTTGGTATTCTTTTCAAAATTATCTTGGAACTATCTGCAGGATTCACTAGAAATTAATTATCAAAATTTTCTTGGAATACTCCCCAGAAATATTTTAGAACTGCCCTAAGAATTCTATATCCTTGAGGTTCTTCCCGGAATATTTTGAACTTTTTTTTTCTCAGAACACCTTGGAACTTAAATTTCCCTAAAGTTTCAGAAGAATTTCCTCTGTATTCTCCAGAAATTCTTCCCAGAATGAGCTTGAAATTATCCTCGGAATTCGCTTGAAATTTTCCTCAACATCCCTTTGGAATTTCACTCAAAATTCGCAGGATTCACTAGAAATTATTCGCAGAATATTCATGGAATCATCCCCAGAAATCTTTTCTTTTGGAACAGTCCTCAGAATTCAATACCCTTGGTTCTTCTCGGAAGTAAAGTTTAAGTTGCCCGTCCATTCACCAAAACGTTGTATTTTTTTTCAACCAGAAATGTTCAATAAAGCTTGCCCCTACATTCACCAGAACTGTGCAATTTTTACATTAGAAATTTTCAATTCTGCCCCTCCATGCAGCAGATTGTTGCAAATCTTACACCAGAAATTTTCAATACAAACTTGCCCTCAGGTTATTTTAGACCAGAAAATTAAATTGACCAGAAGGGTGTAAATTTTCCACCGTTAATAAAAATTGCTTCTACAATCTTCTGATTCGCGCAGATTTCCTTTTTCCATTTTCTACCAGACATTTTCAATATAGCTAGATTCTCCCATCATCAGAATGTTGCAGGTTTTCCGCCAAATAGAGCTTGCCCTATTTTCGGATTTTTCATCATAAATTTTCAGTAAAGTAGCTTCCCTCCAATCATCCGAATGGTGCAAATTTTACACCAGAAATTATTGTTAAAATTTGTTTCTCTATTCAGCAGAGGGATCAATTTTAAGACCAAAATTTTGCCAAAAAGCTTGCCCATCCGTTCACCAGAACGGTGTAGATTTTCCACCAGAAATTATTTTCAATAAAGCTTCATTTTAAATAAAACTTGTACCTTCACATTTTCCATACCAGTGCAAGTTTTCCACCAGAAATTTTCTGTTAATTTTATTTATCAGAGCGATGCAAATTTTTCATCAAAATTTTTCAATTAATCATGGTCCTCCATTCTGTGCACCGAAAATTTTGAGTGAAGTTTGTATCATCATGCACCTTTGTGGATGGTGCAGGTTTTCCAAATTTTCAATGAAGCTTGCATTCATCAGAATGATGCAAATTACGTAGCAGAAAAATGAATAAACCTTGCTTCTACATTAACCACAGTGTTGCGAGCTTTCCACCAGAAATTTTTAGTCAAATGTGCACCTCCAAATTTTTGGCGTGATTCAATTTTTTCCACCAGAGTTATTCATTTTGATTAGTCCCTCCATGCACCAAAACCTTGATGATATTTTTACACCAGAAATATTCAGTAAAAAACTTTTGCTTCGATTTACCACCACGAAGGTAAAATTTTTCAACCTTAAATTTACCCTTTTCTTTTAACCCTCCAAAAAATTACACCAAGATTTTTTGTATGCACCACTGTGGTGGAATTTTTTGACCAAAAAATGTCATTGAAGTTTGTCCCTTTGTGGTGCAATTTTCAGGCACCATCTCAAAGGAATTGACGCAATAAAAGGTTTTCAGTGCCCTTATATTATGAAATGAAGTTATTTTACCTTCAAATCAAGTTATCAAGAAATCAAGTTATTTTATATTCTAATTTTGAAAATTTGAAAATAAAAATCTTATTCATAAAAGAGGGGGCAAGTCCCATAATCAACAGTGAAATATAAATTATTTCACAGAAGTTTGGAGATCTACTGAAAAATTATTGAACATCAAGAAAGTTCGTAGTTCTTCAGAACAAAGCTATAGAACTTTGAAAAAAATTACAGAACTTCTGAAATAATCACAAGAATGGTCATAGATCTTCAGATAAATTTGAAGACCTTTAAGAAAGTGTGCAGATTTTTTGATACATTTTTAGAATCACAGAAATTTTAAATCTTCAGTAAAATTTGTAAAATTTTAAATCTTCAGTAAAATTTGCAGAACTTCAGGGAAGTTCGGCGATTTAAAAAAATAATTATAAGATTTCAAGGAAATTTGTACATTTTGAACGAGACATTTGTAAATTCAAGGTAGCTCAAATATTTTCAGATAAATTTTGAGAACTTTTTGTAATTTAGACGATCTTCAGGGAAATTTTCAGATCTTCAGGGTAGCCCGAGAGCCTACAGAGGAATTCATAAAACTTCAGAGAAGTTTGCAGATCTACTTAGAAATTTATTGAGCATCAAGGTTTTTTTTCGTAGATCTTGAGAATAGAACTACGGAGCTTCAGACAACTTTACAGAACTTCAAACGAGTAGATATTAAGAGAAATCTGCAGAACTGCAAGGAATAATGCAGATCTTCAAAGACATTCAGTGGTTCAGAAAGCTTCACAGTTTCAGAAAAAAATCGTAAAATTTCAGAAAAGTACTTCATTTCCCAAATCAAATCGCAGCAAAGTACGAAAGTTCAAGATTTTGCAGAGAAGTCCGTAGACCTTAAGAGAAGTCTGTAGAACGTCAGGAAGTTCGTACATTTTTAGAAAAAATTGCAAAACTTAAGCAACACTCACAGAACTTTGGAAAAGTTCGCCGATCTTTAGGAATATTTACACAACTTCAGAGAAATTCGTACATAATCAGATAAATTTTTAAAACTTCAGCGCACTTCAAATATTTTCAGATAATTTGTAAAGCT